CATATGTGCACCCCTTCCCCAGCCAGCAGTGGGAACACACTGGATGTAGAGTAAACAGAAGTGTATTCAGTCTTAGTTTCCAAATCTATGGGATGCAAACTATTTACTAGAGCATGGTCTGAGGACAGGGCACATGATGCAGCCATCTTGTTGAGGCTTAGCCACCTTGGGGACCCCCCCCCCCATGTAGAACCACCTTGTCCTCCAAGATGCGGGCGGGGGCAGGGAAGAAAGGTATATCCCACCTAATTCTCAGATGATGCTCAAGGCAGTAACAAATAAGAACACCAGACATTATTGAAAACATGTATCACAGACCTCAATCCTCGTCAGAATATTGAAACCAAAATGTCAACATAATAAACCTCCCATCATAATAATGTTTCTTAAAACAGCCATCAAACTAAAGCGACGTTAGACATAAACCAGCCACCTGAAACAGTGAGGTGACAAATACCCATTGTAACTCACTTTCCAAGGTTACCATGAGCCCAAATGTAATTTCATCACCTTTATGTTCCCTTTGCATTTTCTCATTATTAGTATGAAGCAGCTAATTGTGACAGATGAGTTGCTGCTGTTCAGTCTATTCATTAGTTTTTCTATGTATATAATGTACAGTATACGAGTGACTGTATCAATACTGAGTTAGGAGTTCCCTTTCTAATATGGGTCAGTTATGACTGTTTCAGCAAATGTAAGGATCAGAGCAATAGGATAGAGACTGGTTTCCTTGGATTTACACCGTGCACCCCCACCTTGTTTTTAGCACTGGAGGTTTTGCTGCAGAATAGCAGCACATTTCCAGATCCATTTTGGCTAATATCCAGTCGAAGATCTGGGACATGCCGCAGGAGATGATGACGGAATTGTCCTTGTCTTCGGAATTAGGTTTAAAATGCAGTATCCAAAGCTTTTAATTTTTTTTAAAGTAAATATTTGTGAAACATTTTCTCAATGTAGCAAATCATTCCAAATATATATATCCTCAGATGTACATATTTCCATGCATCTCAAGACAGCTTGCACTAGAACAGGGTGTGGAACCTTTGACCCAACAAATGTTGCTGGACTACAGCTTCCATCGCCCATAGCCATTGGCCATGCTGGCTGGGACTGATGGGACTTGGAGTCAAACAACAGCTAGAGGGCCACAGCTGCAAAAAATCAACATGGGTATCTGGAATGCATGTTATTTCTAGGAGGGGCGCCATACCAACTTAAAGTTCAGTCAGTGTTTACTTGGAAGCAAACCCCATTATGTTCATTGGTGCTTAAAGGGACCCCTGACTGTTAGGTTCCAGTCACGGATGACTATGGGGTTGTGGCACTCATCTCGCTTTACTGGCCATGGGAGCCAGCGTACAGCTTCTGGGTCATGTGGCCAGCATGACTAAGCTGCTTCTGGCGAACCAGAGCAGCGCACGGAAATGCCGTTTACCTTCCCGCCAGAGCAGTACCTATTTATCTACTTGTACTTTGTGCTTTTGAACTGCTAGATTGGCAGGAACAGGGACTGAGCAACAGGAGCTCACCCCGTTGCGGGGATTCAAACCGCCAACCTTCTGATCAGCAAGCCCTAGGCTCTGCGGTTTAACCCACAGCGCCACCCGCGTCTCTCAGTGGTGCTTACTCTTGGGTAAATGCGCATAGGATTGCATCCTTGGAGGCACTGGTCCCCAACCCCATTTGTTGGCTGCAGGCCTGTCAATGCTTATGTCCAATCCATCAAATTCTGATAGCCGAGTGCTTTGCGAGATATATGAACTGTTACCATTAACTACTTGTGATAATGATTCAAATTGGCAGCATGCCTCAGTTTCTAGATTTTAATTATTCCTGAGCGTTATTCAAGTGTTTTTGAACTGTGTTACATGACCTAAGTCAGCGAGGCTAATGCAACCAGGAGAAGCTAGATACTTAGATTGGGAGTTGGACCTTGAAACACCCTTTGTTATCATTAGACTTTTCTGAAATCACAAAGTATTTGGGCAGGAGAAGAAATCTGCAAAATCTATAAGCAAGCAGTTTGAAGCCCCATCAGGTTACCTATATTTGGTTTGTACCATAATGTTGCCATGTTAGGAGCTGGAGTTAGAAGATTAACGCTGATAGATAATCTTAGTAGTAAGCATGGCAGTCCTTCTGTGTTAGAGCATATACCCCAACCCAAGTCTAGAGCAGCAATGGATGTCAGTATTTTCAAAGCCACATTTGCCAAGATCCCTGGCTTTGCACGTACTTGTGTTCCCTGTTTTGAGCTGGGAGTGTCAGATTCATTGCCCTCCCGATTAAGATAGTGAGCAGCATATAATGGACATTGGCTGAATGATAGTTGCAGGTGACAAAGCCTTCAAATTTCTCTCTGCTTTTCCAGAGATAGTGTAAGCTACCTAGACGTCATTTTCTTTCTGTCCCCTGATTGCTTAATGCTCTGTCTCGATTCTGATTGCTCCACTTTGTAGATAATAAGGAACCATGACATCCAACCTGGAAGATCTTATGGTGTACTTTAAAGAATATATGGCAGAGCTTTCTCTTAAGAAGAATAAAATGCAGCCCAGTCATTTCTTGTATATAATTTCACATCCTCAGGAAATGAAGTGGGTTGGATGTGCTGACATTGGGTGTGCGTTGCTCTAGAGAAGGTCCCCAAGGTTCCTTGTGTGATATTTCTAATTTGCATGTTGGAAATCCCCATGGAGAACCATGCCCGTGATTGGCTATGAAGACTGCTGCTTCTTTCCCAATTAGAATCTAACTAGATCCAGCAACCACCTGTCTTCTTTGTAGAATAATGGAGGGCCCATTATAGGTTCATTGAAATGTCCTACAAAGAAACAAACAAGTCTGTACCAAGTTCAGATTCTAGCTCAGTCCCCCTGCCCCCCCCCCATGTTATCATCTGTAACCAGCCTGGAACTGTCTTCAGCTCAGGGAGCCATCTTGTGGCTGATTCACATGGAGCAAGTAAACATATCATTTCATGAATCCTCTGCCACTTCCAAATCAGTCAATGTTGTGCTTGTGTGGTTCCTAAAAATTAGTATAGTACTGATGCAGTTGAACTTTCAAAAGCACAATCCTGGCAATTGTAATTTAGTGAAGGTACTAATTTTCCCTTAGGGTTGGCCCAAAATTCCCCAGAAGACATGTTTATAATGAGAACATTTCAGATATTTCTCTTTATCTCACCCTTACCCTATAGAAAAAGAAAGCAACCTTGCAGAATTTTCTGAAAATGTTCTACACCATTCTTTTGTGGCAGCTGCCATTCCTCACCTGCTCAGTTCCCCATGCTCTGGAGCAGGCATAGGCAAACTCCGCCCTCCAGATGTTTGGGACTACAATTCCCATCATCCCTGACCACTGGTCCTGTTAGCTAGGGATGATGGGAATTGTAGTCCCAAACATCTGGAGGGCCGGAGTTTGCCTATGCCTGCTCTGGACTATGGCATAGCTAGGACTATGGCATTGTGGAGGATGCAAAACAGTGACTAGGTTGCCAACACAGATGCTGCTCTTGCTACTTGAAGCAGCAGAAAGAAATGAAGCCTTCAGGGGAAAGTGTGGGGGGGACCCCTGTCCAGGTGTCCCTGCAAATGGTGAACTCCATCCCCCAGGTGTCCTGCTCGCACTCAGCCAAGGAGGACAAACAGCCAGTAGTTTAATTCTTCATTAACAAAAGCATGCTTCACAGCAGCTTCTAAGATGCACCAAATACACATTCACACACGCTTTTAGCAACTACATAGCTGGCATTAACTTGCCCAGGCTTGTGTCCTGGCTGAACAGCTGAAACAACAGTGGGACCATGCCCCCCTCCCAGCTTAAATATTCTTTTCGGATAGAGTGTGCAAAAGTGACCGGTGACTTCTCCAATATGGAAGTCGCCTCTGCGCTTGCCTATTCAAGCCCCTCTTGGTTCCAGGGGACAGTGAGGATTCAACTGCCCTGCACCTCACCTGAACAGCCTCTTCCTCCACATCCTGCACCTCCTCTCCTGCTGTTGACTGCTCAGGCTCTTCCCCTTCCTCCAGCCTTGGCTCTAGCCTCATGAGTGGCACAAAACCCCATAATTAGCTGGTTCTCTCTCTTGAGTTGGCCTCTGCCCCTTGCCCCCTGCCCAGCCTTTGCCACACACTCTTCAGAACCCTGCCAGTCCCTGACACCAAAAAACTGCTGGAAAAATTCCTTGCCCCTGAAGAAATTTGGTGAAATGGACAGACAGAATTCCCCTGTCTGCAAATGGAATATTTTGAAAGGGGATGTGCACACAGCTCTTTACTCCCTTGCTCAGGTACCCGTGCTGTAGATATGCCTTCTTGACGTGCAAAATGCAATTCAAGACTGTTAAACCACACTTCTCAGATGCTGTGATAAATTAGAATTAGTTAGGCGGGGGTAGAGAGATTTCAATCCCATTCTAACCTCCAGTAAAATAACTGCATCTTGCCCACCCCTGCTTCAGCTGGGTGACTTTTAATCCACCATACGCATATGTGGGCACTTCTCCTCCTGACAGGGACATCTGCAGGATCATTCTCTTATAGGGGTTCCCACATTGTGAACATCTGATGCTCCTCCAAGCTCTCACCTTCTTTTCACATTTTTCCCTTGCAGCGGTTATGCATATTCACAACTTGCTCATAAACTTCCCGTCAGCACAAAATGAACTGCTCTGATTTGGCTTTGTATGCAGTTTAAATGTTTTCAGATCTCTTGGTTTTAGTAGACTGGTGTTCTCTTTATTCCCAAGTCCGTCCGCCCCCTCTGTCTTTTGAGTCTTTTCTTTTTCTTTTTGCTTGCACTACAGGAGGGATTGTAGAGTTTAAGGGTGCTTCTGCAGCATGGGGAATCACTGCGCAACTGGTTTGGTACTCCGTAGGAAACATAGGAGCATAGGAAACAACACCTCAAAAAGGGTTATGTACATAGAACTGTAGAGTTGCAAGGGATCCTGGGGATCATCTGGTCCAAGCGCCTGCAATGCAGGAATATGCAGTCATCCCATACAGGGATTGAACCTGCAACCTTGGCATTATTAGCACCATGCTCTAACCAACTGAGCTATCCAGCCTGACTGGGTTGTGATGGAATCCCACCCACCCCCTTCTGTTCCCTGCAGCTCCCTTGGAGCAGATTGATGGGCAGGGAGAGGAGAGGAAGGGGAAGTCCCATTGTGAGAACAGATCTGCATTCTGACACCATTGGATACAACCCTTTGTGTGTTGATCTGATGTCTATTTGCACTGGAGTTTTTCTCTGCCATGCAGAGACAGCATCTATTTCTCATTATAATAAATCAGACATCACTCAATCTAGTAAATATGGTTCTGGCTACAAACGAACTTTTAGAAGATGCTTGCAAAATTGCTATTATGCAAGCAGCTACCTTTAAGTAGAAGGAATATAGTAAGCCATTAAGTTACTCAGGTACATTCCACTAGGTAAAATGAAGGTTATGTTGTACATCTATAGCTGTGATTTGTGGTGTGTCATGGATGACCACTGATAAACTTACGTAGTTGTTGCATGTGTGGAATGGGATCTGTCCACTCAACAGGACTTCCTCTCCCATGCACCCCACACCCCCTAAATCTGCTCTGGAGGGCTGAGGTGGGGCAGAACAGCTTTAGGGGGTGTGCAAGGGGACAAGGGGAAAGTCCTATTCTGTAAGCAGACCCCATTTCCCACATGCTTGCCCTGCTACACTGAATTCTGCTCTCTATTCCTAAATTCTGCATGTTCGGAGTAGTCTCTCTTTGAAGCAGTTCTGCACAGGTGAATGGTTCAGAGTTGGCTCATAAATGACATTTTCTGTACCTCTATGTAAGAAAAGTGAATCCAGAATTTGCAGCAAGTGTTTCCTTATTTTGCTACAAGTTCCCAGACAGGCTCACCTGAGAAATGAACTTGTTTATCAAAACTGCTTTCCTTATCCGAATCTCTAGCAAAACTGCCATCCAGAAGAAAAACAAACCAGCATTAGTTTCCTCAGCTGAATCTTACTTCACATTATGGTCTTGGAATGCTTGTTGCTAGGGGAAGATAAGAAAAACTAAACTAAACAGAAAGATGCTGAGCTGAATGGATAGGATATTAGAGGAAAGCGCATCCAAGAGGCTGCTTTATTTCTGTTTGCAAGCCAGTGTGCCACTTCTCTCTGCCGGAAAGGACTGCGAGACATTCTTAGAGTTTTATGCATTCTTTCTCCACAGTTCTCCTGCCTTTCCATGGCTGGGAAGAGGATGCCTGGAGAAGCATGTTGATGCTTATAAGGTTGCAAGAATACTCAGACTTCTCTCACAGGCCCCGAGATTTGCCTTTTGGTGTATAATAATAATAATAATAATAATAATAATAATAATATCTGCACTTTGAAAAAATCCAGTCTCTTTCTGTGTTGCTCGGTGCGCTCTCTGCTTTGATCTGTACTTCAGCTCTTGAGCAACTCTGTTTTGTTTCCCCCCATTTTCACTATAGTACGGAACATTAAGCGGCAAAACCTCTTCCAGCTTTTGACCAAAGTAGATGAAATGTCGTGGCACAGGAGTCCCTCTGGAGTGGATTAAACTTGACAGTTTGCAGACAAATAAGTTCCATGGGCTTTTTGTAGGGGGCGTAAAAGGGATTGACTTTCCTTCATGGTCTGTTTGTGGGGCGGGGGGGGAGGGGGGGTTTGTTGCTTTCTTACCTTAAAATGATGACTAGGTAGCTGAGTGCACATTCCATTACAGTGGTACTTTGGTTTAAGGACCGCTTAGTTTACAACTTGGATTAAAAACACTGCAAACCCAGAAGTAGGTGTTTTGGTTTGTGAACTTTGCCTTGGAAGCAGAAAATGTTCCGCCTCCTGTTGAGTGTGTTCCATTTGTAAATTGAGTCCCCCGCTGCAAGCATGCCTTGATTTAAGAACAGACTTCTGGAATGGATTAAGTTAATAAACCAAGGTGTCATTGTATTTCTTTACAGATTCACACAAACTTTTCTTTCTGGTGGTTGCCTGTGTCCTCCAGGAGGCTTTACAAGCCTCACAACAAACTTACAATGTGAGTCTGTCTTGTTGAGTTCTGATGAACTCTGGCTTTGCTTGTTTCTTGTTAAAGCAGTTTTTGGAACAAATTAAATAAAGCTTTTAACTTCTTTTTTTAATTTTAAAAAACCTCGCATTCTGTGTTTTACCAAAAAACAATCCAGAGCTCTTCAGTGTTCCACAGGCAACATTTTTTTGACAGCTTTACTTATTGCAAAGCCCACAGGCCTAAAGAAATATTGATATTACGTAGGAAAACATAGAGCTGTATCAGGACAAGGACAGAGCAACATTAGGCTTTGTGTGTGGGCAAATCTTACTTGGCAGGGGGATATGGACATGGCACTTTTACTTGGGGAGTGGGCATGGAAACCTCCAAAGCGCCCCAAGTTGCCTACTGAGATCAAGCAGGCGCCTTCACTGTAGTATTCAACGCTCGCTAAAAACATTTTTATTTAGACAAGCCTTACCTTTACCTTTACCAAGATGCTCAGAAAGTCAAAATAATTTTAATCCGCTTTAGTATTTTATTTTTTGTATATTTTAAAGTACTGTTGTAACTTTTTCCTGATTTTATTGCTTAATCCTTATTGTAAACCACTTGGAGGTGTTTTTTGTTTTTGTGTTTTTACAAGAGTGGCATATACATTTTATGAAATAATAAAGAAAAAAAAGAAAGAATTCTTGCCATGCTGGTTTGGTCCCCATTGAGAGCTGGTATAAAAAGGTAAAGGACCCCTGACAGTTAAGTCCAGTCACGAACATCAGTGGTAGTGTTCAGAGATTTATAGCCAAAATTAAGAGGTCCTGGTCCCCAAGGAAGTCGCAATCTGAGACACAGAGAGAGAGAGAGAGACAAAGATATGAGAGAAGTTTAAAGCTTTGTTACATTTGGGAATTAAGACGGAAGGGGTGTGCCATGGCCACATGGAATGGATGGGTTTTGCGAAGAGGTTTGAAGGGAGAGAGTTTGCACATATTCAGGAAGTGAGTTCCATCCATGGAATATACAGCAGGGAAGAATGGGGTGGGGGTGTTCAAGTGAGCCTGAGATTTTCAGATTTAGGTATTTCGACTGAGATTTTCAGTTGGCCTGTTAATGTTGGAGGAGACAAAATCACAGAGGCATATGAGAATCAAGAGCTAAAAGAGGCCGGCGGTTTGAGGGAGGGGTGGAAGGCTGAGGATAGTTTTATAGAGAAGTTTGTGCTAGATACAGAAGGGGATGGGAAGCCAGTAAAAAGACCTGAGGAGATATGATGTATGATCTGAGTCATGAGACGTTTTGGCAGAGGACTTTCAGAGGTGAGAGAACTGAGGTGCAAATTGACTGGTGAAAAAATGCTTCCACATACTGACATCAGCATGAGGCCTCACTTGGAGTGATTCCCACGAGTCTTTTATTGTGTGAAAATGATTCTGTCAGATAATTCATATAGGTACATATAGCTTGCTCCAAGACGATCCCATAAACGGAGACGTTGCTCCTGCTCAAATGGCCTTTGACCGGGTCACATGTCTTGAAACCACAAAACAAATCAAAAGCGTATTATTTTTATGCTAACTGGGAAAGTTCCTCCCTGGATGCTCTCATTCCTCAATGGTAAAAGAATCTTTGGGAAACTTTCGGCCCTCAGAAACTTTTTTTTTGTAAAAGAGCATTAAAAATGCAGACGATAAGAGGGACGGGAGACTTTATAGAACAGTTTTTGCTCATGAACTTTATTCTGATATGATAATTAAATCCATAATTAATTCCTCCAGGACCGTTCAGTCATGGACAGAAGTCCTGCTAGGGAGTTTTTCTCCTGACACCATGTGTCGATTGTTTGATTTGGGATGCGTCTAACTTTTTTCCTGCAGAACTCTGATGTGTTCCCTTTATTTCTTGCTTTTTTTTCAGCATGCTGGAATACTCTCTGGACTTGCAGAATGTCAGTTTCTCAGCTGTTCGGACCGTCAGGGTACTCCGGCCGTTGAGAGCCATTAACAGAGTTCCTAGTAAGTAAAATCTCTTTTCTCCCCATTTTTTCTCTCCCCCTTGAACTAGCTCATTATTTCTGACAATCTGGAAATAAGTGGGACATTTTACATCTTTTCCAAAATCCCATTTAACGCGCTCACCTACATCTCTTGACCACGCTGACTGCTATTGTGACTCCCCTTATGTAGAGCCTGATACCAATGTGCTCTTTTTTAATGAATTGTCCATCCATCTCAGCCATCTCCTCAAAAAAAGAGTGAATAATTAATCAAACAGACTGGCGAGGACTTGCTATTTTGTTTCCCTTGCTTGAACAGTGCTTCTGGAAAAGGGTCTCATGTGAATCACTTTATAGGAAAATTTAAAAATGAGTTTGGAGGCATCAAGGAGATGTGATGGGAAAGAGAGGATAGACTACTAGAAACATGCTTGCACTAGTATGAAAGATGATGTAGAATAGGAGAGGAGAACCTTCTGCCCTCCAGGCGTCGCTGGACTCCAGATCCCATCATCCCTGACTATTGCCCATGTTGGCTGCATATGATGGGAGTTGGAGTCCAACCACATCTGGAGGCCAACAAATTCCTTCCTCTTCCTAGGGCTGCCAAGTATAGCTTAGTTTAAGGGAATTACTCTTCTTTCAAATATAACAAGTCCTTGGACCATACTGGATTCCACTTATTTCAGTGTTCTGGAGTGTATGCTCAACCTATGGCTCCTTGCTGTATTATTGCACGTCTCCGAGCAGGTTCCAGGCACTTACCCAGGTTTCCTTTTTAACGAGGGACAGCAGACACACTGGTGTCGACATATGGTTTATTTACATGTATGTGCAACCTGAGCCTATGATGGAGGGGCTCACACCATCCATACCCCAAGAAGGTCTTGCTTCTTCCATTGCCACAGCCTTGAATTCCAGCAAAAATCAGGCATGGCTCTGCCTCACAAGCTTCAGCCTGAATCCATCTCCTACCTCTCACACATTAACTCCACCTTTGTCTTTCTAACAAAGGGGTGGGGGTACCCACTGGCTGTTTGGCCCAGAGCCACTTCCTTTGTTACTTTAA